GGAAAAAGACATTGTCGTTTAGAAATACTTTTAATTTCCCTATAATTTCTTCTCTCCTGTTTTCCATACACTCAGGGAGACCTTCGGATACCATTCTTATGGCATTATTAGCTGCAGTTTTGTAATACTGTCGATACCAATCTTCATTCTCAATACGAAATAATACTTCTTGTATACCTTTGCCATCATTCGGGTTTGATAATTTTAAGAATTCTTCCGGTCTTTCAAAGCAATCAAAGATAAACAATAAATTAAATAAAAAAATAAGAAAATCAATATTTATATACTATCTTGTGTGTAAGAAATCAAATAAGAAGAAGAATAAATTTACCTTGTTTCTTTTAACGTTAGGCTAAGCGCATGAAAACCAGCCAGAGATTTCAATGCAAGTTTTAAATGTTCAAAATTAAGACCTTTTTGTCTATCTGCCATTTTAAAACCTCGTTCCCTTAAATCTTCCATTGCTATAAGATCAGTTCTTGCAGCATAGATTTTAGCGATACCATTGAAGACCTTTTTACCATTTACCTGTAACTGATTTAAAGCGGGCCAAACATACGTATAGAATGCAACTTCATTACGAAACAGAAGTTCACTTTTGAAAGCTTCCCTGCGTTCCTTGGATTGTGGCAAAACTTTATAGATGATTGCACATTCCCAATTATCCCATTTTCCAGTTTTGAATTGTTTTTTGCCTTTAGCACGAACACGATATAACATTGATGTATAATTATCACCCCTTCCTGATCCTGGTTCTTCTTCTACATTAGTAATCACCACGTCGGATTCATCTTTCATTATCAACTCACGTATAGACTCTAACGTTAGCCGCATAGTCTCTTCCTCTTTTTATATATTTTCTTAAATACTTACAAATATCAAATCCAATAAAATGATCCTATCTCTCTCTCTCTCTCTCTCTCTCTCTCTCTTTAACTTGCTTGAATGAGAACAGATATGACTGTCTTAGTCTTTAAAGCAGATCAAAGTGTTATGACGTTATCCTATGTGATGCAGGAAATAGGTATTTGAGTGACAAGGGATTATGCTCTCCCACCATCGTACAATCTAATTCATTAATCGTTCGAAACCAAACTCAAGGGACAAGGACATTACGATGTACATGTCGATCATCTGCATCATGTGATTTACATACCTTAGGGGGATAAAGCTACTAAATTATATTAATAACATTCATGGTAATATATATAGTTTCTTCGTAGAAATAATTTCATTATTTAATATACGTACGATTATTAGGTCTAATATTTTTTTTCACTTACAAATATATTACACGATATTAGATAGATTTTTTTTATTATTAATAAATATAAAATCATATAAGACACATATATATGTATATACATGTGCATTTAATGAATTCATCTGCTCGTGTTATCTAGTTACGAGAAAAATGTTCTAATAGTCAATGGTTTTATAGATTGGTATAATACAATAAAAAGGTCACAGTATGCATTTATAGGATTAGTTCTAATCGGATAGATTCAATTCAAATAAATCATTTCCCACTAAATTGATCAACTTCTTTTTCTCAGTTGCAGTTAGTGAAATAACATCATTTACTTTTTTAGCCATCAAGTCGGTTTCTTTTAAACCAGATTTCATTGACCATTCAATTAAAAGCTAGAAATCATCAAATTACATTAAAATAGTTCAAACATCTTATATATATGTATATATATAAAAATAATATGTGTATATATCTTACGAGGGCAATTGATCCGTAACTTTGGGAAATACAAATTTCTAACAATTCATTGATTTGTGTCGCATCTAATTTACCCGTTATCAATTCCTCATTGGATATCATGAAAGATATTATTTCATATGCTTGATTTTCCCAATTACCACGCAAGAGCAACAATAATATATCTTTCAAAATATCAATATCCCATATAAATTTTCTAATATCTGATTTTAGCTGAAAAAAGTCATTAATATTTATTTCATAATAATGCTGTGAGAGATTAAAAAGATAAAATATCATAAATAAATATAATTAATTATTAACCTTTCGATTTAATTGCCAGAAATCCCAAGCAAATGATGCAAATGTTTCATGAAGTGGCGAGTCTTGTTCGATATTACATTGACAAGTTAATTTAAAAGCTATTTTTACTATCTTGTTGTTAGTTACCATATGATACATATATATTTGCGACCAGAGTTTTGGTAAATTTTCTATAATTATTTCATTGGATTGAAGTTTCAAAGTTTCTAAAATGCTTTCTACAATAGAATTTTCTGGTACATAAATATGTTTGCTTAATTGATAATAAAATTCGAAAAACTTTTCTATTGGTAACACTGCCAATTTTAAGGAGACGTAGTGTCGGTAGTAAATGTTTTCCTAAAAACAAAAAAATAAAGGAACAATGAGCGAAATAAGTATTATACATAACAGAGTTATACTTTCAAACAATACGCATATTTTAAAACTTACAGAATACGCATTGGAAATAAATTTGAAATTGTTATCTTTTAGAAGAAGATTGTGGAGTTTTTCTCCTAATTTCAAATTAGTATCCATTTTAGCTACTTCCATAGCCATAGGAAAGAAGTTGGTATCAGCTGGATCACGTAATTCAAGGGTATCCTTTTCTAATACATTTATCATATCCTCTAAAATAGAGATTAAAGAATTGCCTAAACAAAGAGAATAATTAATATTAAATTAAATTATTAATTTAAAAAAAAAGACATTTTGTAATTTCGTATAAATATAATATATATATATATATATATATATAGTCTTACCATTTTTACTTTCTAAATGAAGTATATAGCAATACGAGGCCAACGATGGTTTTATTCCTATAGAGTTAAATTCTTTGAATAAAGTATATATAAAATCTTCTGCCAAGTTATAAGATCTCAATGAGTATACTATTTCCAAAGATGAATTCAATGTGCCTAAATTGGGATGTATACCATTCGTACTCATATCTTTCAGTATTTTGTACGTTGTTTTAATAGGATCTGTCGAATGTCCTAACACGAATGGTATTATTTTTATTATCGCGTTATACGTGTTAACGTTTAATGGTATCTTCTTTTCACAACATTGTGAATATAGTGGCCAAGCTTCTTGTATCTGTGTGTGTGTATAAAATACATTTAATATTATTACATATATTAATAGTTTTTGAAATTTAGAGGAAACATATAACATATATTATAAAAATATTGTCATACATTTAAATACTTAGCTTTGCCGCATATTAAAGCATTATATGCGGCAGCTGCAGTTTCTGCATCTTGTGACGTCAAGAAATTAAATAGTTTTTCAATATCTGCTGTGTTACTAAAATAAATAATAATTAAAACGATATTACAGAAATAAAATAATGATGTGTGTTAAGTAAGATTAAGATGCAGTTACGCTATCGGATTTAATTAATCCGATAAAAAAAATATTGAATTTAGTCTATTAGAATACGTACTTCCAAGTATTTTTTTTCCTTCGATCATCTTCAAACTTATACCATTTTTCCTCTTGAAAGGTAAATTCCATAAGATCCTTACTATTAGTAAAACATAACAATTCTAAAAGACTTTGTTTAGCTTTGGTCGACACATTTTCTTCCAATAAGTTATATATATGTAAAGCTTCAGTTGTTCTTCCATTTGATATCGTCCTTAACAATATTTCTTCTGAGACTTGATCTTTTTTTGTATACTCGACTGGTGGCATGAATTCCTGTTGAATTATTTGTTATATATAATATAATATCAATGTTATTTTAATAACATTTTAATCACATTTACCTCTATAGCAGGATCAGCAAGATCAGTTCTAAATAAATCACCATGTTCTTTATGAACCCACATCGCTGTCTTTCTACCTGATTCCAAAGATAATGCATAATGTCGTTGCAATTGTTTGGAAGTAGGTACTAAATATGGATCATTAAAATATTTATAATGTGGAGTAGAAGGATCCCTTGAGATGGTTTTTTCCAAAGCCTAAAGCGTATTAATTATTTAACATATTATCATAATTATTAAAAAATAGAAAAATACTATCATTTTTTACAAACCCTAAGGATATCTGTTGGTCCACGTTCTATTCTATCTGGTATTTTAATATCAACGTTAGAAGATGTTTTAGAAGACACTGTAGAAGACGACGACTGCAATCGTCTTAAAATTTTGTTAACCATCCTACATCAGGTGCAATTATATTATTAATAATGTCAAATAAAATAAAACATTTGTTATTAATAAAATATTAGACATGTTAATATAAAAAATAAAAGTAATTGCAAAATATTGTTTGAAAAGAAGAATAAATATGTATTAAATCATGAATTCTATATCAAGTTAAATTGATTACGTATAAATAATAATATAATATAAATATATTCGTATTTTTAAAATACTTAATTACACACCGGCATGACGTATTTGTTAAAAAATTCATTATGTTATTCCTATTCCGACCATTCAAATAGGTTAGCTTAAAGTTAGGTTAGTATTTAAACACGTTTTCGATATCAAAAGTATCGATATATAACACACTATGCAGTAAACGATAGTATTGCCATTTATGCATCTTCAGTTATTTGGTTGCCTATATACAGGCGTAATAGTATTAGATCTTCAAACCATTATTTATTTATTATAATACTAATATTATTTATTTCATTTTAATTATAATTATCATTAGATTATTATAAATCAATCTAGTAAATATATGATGCATATAGTTGTTCAAACTTTTTACATTTATTTATTAAAATGGTGTATACGATTATAGATCGTCGTATGTAAATTAAAAAAATATCAAGAATACGTAATGTAATTATTAATTTTTGTATATAATATTAATTAGAAATAAGCTAATACAAAAAATTATTTTCATATATATATAAGTATATATATATAATATAATTTTTAAAAGATATAAAAAATAAAAAGGTATTATACATGCTGCCCTCTACTTGTAATTTAAATAAGCGCGCTTTACAATATGGATCTACGTGCATCAAATCAAACGAGTTACGGTTCATTAAATAAAATCAGTTGAGATAAAATCGTGATATTTGAGAAGAAATTAATTTGAAAATAAGATTTAATGTTACTGCTTCAACGAATTATTCCAAGCTTAAATATTATTAATATCTTTACATTAAAACAGGTATATAACCACAATTTATTATAATAATTTTACTAATAATATTAATATATATATATATATTTTTCAATTATAACGTACATTAAATACTTTTTCATATTGCAGGGTGCGCTGCAGGCTACGACTATTAAAGTGAACGTAGTCGAATATTGTGTTTTAATTAGAAAAAAAAGAAGATTCTATGTTATTATAATATGAATTTGAAAAGTATTTTCATAGATTGATTTAATCATAGTTATTTCAAAACAATTCTAAACTTTGAAACTATGCCATTCAAAGAAAGTGTTATTTGTTCCGACTAGAAATACAAATATGAAAATAATATTTAGGCCAGAAAGATGGAAAAATGATAATCGAATTTTGAAAGTTATCGTCTTCTCAACTACCGTTGAAAAATAATACGTCTTCTTGCTTTTTCGGGTTCTCGTATCATCCTTATAATCCCAGGATCTTTATCCACCACCCTTGAAAACGGCACCACGACAGCTGTTAGGAACACAGTAAGGTAGAGAAAGAGATTCGTTTTCTCCAAAAAAACTGTTCTTTTTTTTATAATTTTTAATTTTACATATGAATGGTGTATTTCTTATGCAGGATGAACCCTTTGCCCTATTGGGGAAAGAATTGAATAAAATTTATAAGGAAGCTAAAACAGCATCGCACATACCACCCCAAATACTATGATGGTGCATAGCGGGGGAAAAAGAAGTACGTAGTATGATGAAGAACTGCAACGAGAAAGAGAAAGATAGATAGAAAGAAAGAAAGAAAGAAAGAGAGAGAGAGAGATAGAAGAGCATGGGTTCAGAACCGTGCCGTGAGAACATAAGTATGTGTAAGTTTGAGTAAAGATCTTTGCATGTATATGTATCTGTATATAGTGAGTGGGTAAGCGGATGTACGTAGAGACGACGACGCGTTACTCACGTAAGAAGCCAGGTGTTTTATTTCAAACCGTGGGACTCTTTAAAGGGGATGCTTGCGGAACGCGTTACACGCGTCTTCCACCGTAGGATATGAATGAAAAACAGGATTCGCGATTCTATGGGGAACCCTCTCCCTCCCCACTACTTTTATTGTGTTTCCTCATTCGATCGAACGTAACGTAAACCCCCGTTTCTTCTTACCAGGAGGAGAGTGTTCCTTTTGATCAGGTTTTTCTTCTTCTTTGTACTTTTTTTTTCTCTCTCCTTTTCTCTCTCTTTCTGCATATGAGACGAATTAAAATGGCCGGATCTAGGCGTAGGTACGCATACAACGCATATCAAGAAAAAAGAAAGAAGGAATGAGAAGAGTATGCATGGAAAGAAGGACCCCAAGACGAAAGAGAGAAAGAGAGGAAAAGAAAGAAAGAAAAAGAGAAAGAAGATGGACTGGCACGATCAAGAGGGATCGGTCAGTGAGTGGTAGACAAAGGAAGAAGATGTATGTATAGATATATCAAATGTACACGTGTATACCTGCATTATGCATATATACATACATATATATATATACTTATTATACATCAAAAGTGAGAAAGAGATGTATATTTATATATATATATATATATGAATATGGATATGTATATATACGTATACACTATATCAAAAGCATTTCTTTTTCACGCCTAAGGCATGCACGGTCGAGCAGGAAACCCGAATCTTAGGAGCCTACGAGAACAGCGATCATGTGAATTCGAGGTTCTCGCGGCGAGAAGAATCCTTTTCTTTCATCTTTTTTGCCCGTTCTCTTCTTTACCTTCTTCCTTCTTCCTTTCTCGCATCATCCTTTTTCTTTACCTTTACCTTTACCTTACCTTACCTTCCTTCATTCCTTCCTTCCTTCTTTCTTTCTTTCTTTCTTTCTTTCTTTCTTTCTTTCTTTCTTCTTTAGCGTACCTTACCTCTACCTCTGTCTTCCTCTTTTTTCACTACTGCAACCGTTTCGTGGAACGGTTACGTGTAGTGTGTGAGGAGGAACACAAAGGGATGTGCGCAGCTTTATTTCCAATTCGTGTGATCGTTAATAACGATCGGCCAGCTAAAGGATCCTTGTTATTTGTCGAGTTTTACCCTTCCAACTACGATACAACCCCTTCGTGGAATCCTTTCACTAATACCACTACAACTACTACTTTATACTCGCTTTTTATTAATGTATTTAACTCTAAATGTTTTTTTGTATTTTAATTCTTACAGTAGATATTAAATCAATATTTTTACATATTGGCCAATTTATAGAAGATACGTTTTTTTCTAATCATCGAGGGGTTACGTTGGATATTTCCTTACGTATACATGTTCGCTAGCTATTAAGGTCAAGGTCACTCGAGGATGAACGTGCAAGCATTCCTTTTCAGGAATCCTATATACAACACACACTTGGTGACACACTAATACCAATAGAATATCATACCCTTACCTGTTATCCTTTATACGTATTGTTTTCTTATTTTTATTTTAGATGGAATTAAACTCGGAAGGAAGATAACGGTCATTTGAAAAGGAAATTCAAATGGAATACATCATTTATCCTTAATAATGTATGTAATCATACTTTTATTATTATCTTAATACAAAAGATATATCCAATAATGAAAAAACATTTGCTGTTAAGATTGTTTGTATGTTCTTGGGGATGAAAAACACAGAAGATCGACGAAATAGATTTTTTATTGGACAACAATTAATAAAAAACAATGTCATGAACATATAAAAAATTAACAGGAAATTAAATGAAATTTAAATTGAAATCAAACCGGTTAGATGATATTGAGTAAATTTAGCAGGCCGGGACGAGTGCAATTTGAATTAAACCATACAAATCATGCCCCCATCCTAGCCTGCCAAAGATTACTCTTTTAACGTATTTTTTTATTAGTTTGTTCTTCATTTGTTGATCTTCCAGATGTAACAGAATGCATTCCGATAGGCCGGGACCAGTGCAATATTATTCAACTAAGAAGCTAAATATTGACACAAATCTCAGCCTATCTTCGGTGCAAATTTCACTTACACATACCCATATATATGTAGATACATGTATGCACGTCCTTCCATGTAGTGTCTTATTTCCTTCATCGAAACTGGACCCAAAATAACGTAATACTTAAGTTGTAACAGCCCAAGCTTCGAGAGCAGATATTTAGTTATGATTTGCAATCCATGGTCAAGGAATGGGTACACGGTTGGCCACGTTCAAGAGTGGGGTTACAAATCGACTCAAATTTCGGACAGTATAAAACCGCGTCTGCTTTCATCTCTGAGCTGAACAAAGGAACTATATATACATGTATACCTTTACCTACACTATATTACCTTTCTTAAACTCTCTAAAAAAGGGTCCAGAAGATTTTTCATTCGGATATTTTTTTTGTCGTACTATTTTTAAAACTCACAAATGAAAATAATTATCAATAAATCTCGTAGCACATGTTTTTCAAATACAATTTTCATTTGTTAAAAAATTCAATTGATGTTTTATAACAGTATAAATGATAATTTGTAAAAAAAAATGATAACTTACGAATGAAATCAATTTCAGGAACAACTTTGCGTGACTCTGTAATGAAAGGGAGTTACACACTAGGAATTCTTGGAATTTGGATGGTATAACTAAAGGAGGGGATCTATGAAACAATTTGCCTGGCCTCTTGTAAGCTCTGTTAGAATCTTCGACAACCACAACCACGACGATGATGATGACGACAACGACGACGAGGACGATGGAATACACCACCCAAGAGAGCCCTAATTTCGTAGGTTCGCGCGTTCTTGCCTAACAGAAAATGCATCCAGCGTCTCACCAAACTATATATCTCTGTATATACATATATGTATACATATGCGTGTATGCCTGTGTATGTGTGCACACGCGCGAGACCCTACGATTTGGCCTTGGCGGTTCGTTTCCAAATCGAAGAGCCCTTTCTGTTACATGTTTCTAGATATATTTCAAGTTAAATTATAAAATTAAGGAAACAATTTATATTTATAAAATTGATTCTAGTTAAATCCTCGAAATATTTTCAAATTCAAATGAATTTAATTTTATTCTTAATATTTGTTTTGTTTTATTTTCTTTGAAACGTACTTGAGATGAGAAATATGTTTATATGTTGTAACGACTTTACATTGAAACGTTTCTATTACTATGACCTATCCTGTTTCTGTTTTAAGTAAGCGTGAAGAGAAGCCCGGTTCCGAATGACGTTCGAACAACGCGCGTGTTTGGACGACTATGACGAACTACTATGACGAGGACGCGACTACTGATGGAAGAATGAGAGTGAGAGTAAGAGAGAGAATGAGAGAGAGAGAAAGCGAGGTGTGTGTGAGAAGTAGGGATAGGAAGAACACGGAGAAGCCACGCGTGCACATCATCCTCCCAACATAACGAGTAATTCAAAGAGAGAAAAAGAAAGAGGGAGAGAGATTATTCTTTCTTTTATAACGTTCAACGTGGAAAAAACATGCGATAACAATGAAATATATTCAATTTCATCGCGATATTTCTTTTACAATTATTTATGAGAACGTTATTATGTATGTGTTATATAGTATAAATATTATTTATACTTATATATTTGTTGGATTGTCCTTAAGAAAATGTTCGTAACGATTTTAAGGAAACATTTAAAAGCAAATATATTATGATTATTTTATTTTATAAAATTTTCCGTTATCCTGATGAAAAATTATATCTTTGATGTTTATTAGTTTGGGCTATTTTTTATTTAATATTAGTACTTAATTTGTTTCATTGCAAACAACAACAATTTTATTTTGTTTAGAATATATTCATTATTAAGAATTCATTTCCAATTCTACCTTTTTGAATATTTGTAATAACCGAAGGAATTTTAAAACGATGTACGCGACTTCAACTAAATAATTACCGGCTTTTAAATTGTAAGGACAACCTAATAAATATTTATGTATGTATGTGTTTATATATAGATATATATATATATATAGATTTATATAGATTTACACAAACCAAATCTCGACGAAAATGATCAAATATTTCTTCGAAACTCGAATCCTCTTGGGGGAACAAATTCCCTCGTGGGCCAACACGTTTACCTCTTCAAAGTTTCTTTTTCTTCTTTTCCTTTTCTCTCTTCCTCTCTCATTTATGTGTACATGTTAAGAAGATGCGAGGAATCTGTTCAACCGTGTTTTCCTTTCTCGACCTTTTCTTTCCTTTTTTTCTTCACAATAATAACGCACAAACACTATTTAATTTAGCCGGTATTCCTTTCAGAATAACGACGATGCCTTCAGAAGATGCCTCGAAGAAAATTTAAAAGAAGATGAAGCACGTATTCTACAATATTCTGGTAGCTTGGAGAAATCCCGACTGAAGATGAAGATCTTGGAAGCTGATGGTGATCTTGCTGATGGTGAAAAAGAAGCAAAGATGAAGAAGACGATGCTTCACGTAGGAAGTTTTCGAGCAAACTGCTGCTCGTGGCCAGGTGTTCCTCCTCTTTATTCCTTTTGGCTGCCGTGAGTACATGAAAGCCCCTGGCTATATAGGTACCCGTAGGCTTCTCATCGGTGGTGGGGAGCTTATTCTTATTTAACAGAGCGACGACGACGACGAAGCAGGAGCAGCACCACCAACAGCAGCAGCAGCAACACCACCAACAGCAACAGCAGGATCAGCAACACATACACAAAGAAACAGACGTATACATACATGGGGCCTTCAAATCCTCCCCCTTTCCACCATTTCGTCCCTTTTCTCGCTTTCTTTCTCTCTCTCACTCTCCTTGTTTCTTTCTGTTGGGTTTCTTCATCTATCCGTCCAGTGTCCCTCTCTCCCTCTTTTTCTTTCTTTCTTTCTTTTTTTTTCTTCCTCTGGATCCCCTCTTACTTCATCACTTGTTTTCCTTTTGCTTTACCTACCATCCCTCTCTTTTTCCTCTCCTCAGCCGATACTTCTTTGTCGTATTCCGATCTACTCTGTCGAGGAGCCCGCCAAAAATTGTATCAGCTGTCCTGGATTTTCTGCTACGCACCTTTCAAGACCCAAACTATACACCATTTTTATTTGTTCCTTCCTTCCTTCAATCTTCTACGTACATCCCTCTTTATCCTGTGTAACTGACGATGAAGACGTTGAGATGATGATCCAAAAAAATATGAATCATCCTTGCAATCTGATTTATTATGACTGTTAACCGTCCAATTCCTGTGCTACTAAAAATTCATCTTTCTTGTCTAATTAATTTTCTTTTATATTTCTATGAGAATGGCTAATAATACATTTTTGTTCTTTCTATTTTAATAATGACAATAATTTTATGATTATATATATATAGTATTTATTAGCTACGTATGTTTATAGACAAATTAAAAATACTTTCATTATATTTATATATTCAAATATAAATATTCTCACTTAATTGTTTTCTTTTTATAATTACTTTTACATTTACATTTTTATTCGCTTATTTTCAAAATTACCGACAAATATATGTTACAGAATTATTATAATCATATTACGTGTATATATAATATACAATTGAAATATAATGAAATATATAATATATATATACATATATATATATATATATACAATAAACTATGTTCTCATTTGTAGATAACAAACTTGGTTGCTTTCAAGGACTATTCATCCGGTCGTTTCTTTCCTTCACCTGGGACAGCTGGAACTCAGGACGACCACGTGCTCTCGACTTCAACGAGCAATCCCAGCATAGCAGGTTGCAACGGTTTATCGTAGCATTATCGAATCGTTGATTAAGAGGAATCAACATAAATTCATTCACGAAAATTATACACACCTATAACTTAATACGTTCTACTACAAATGATATTTACTCGCTACTATCGATTATAATTAATCCTCTAATTGTGAAAGATTATTATATGTTACTTTGTAAGATACGAAGAATTTCTAAAGACTGCACAGTTTCATAACAAAGCTTAAACGTTTACTCGAGCAAACTAATTTTCAATTTGATTTTGCGAATAGTCGAAATTTTATAAAACACGTTAAATAATTCATTTCAATTGAATTTTATTATAATTGATGGTCGTTCGTCTCAACGTTCCTTCTTAATCGTTAACTCTTACAGTTTATTGTGCAATCGATGATAACATGTTCACACGGAACTCTACATATGTATTTAAATGAATCAGTGATTATACAAGTGGTCTTTCGTTTAAAGATATATATATATATATATATATATTGACATTTTGAAGGGGTTTAAATTATTTTACAAATAATATTTTATTTTATAACAACATACAGAACAAGTAAATATAATTTAATATCATAAAAAAATAAAAATAATAAAGTGTGTCAAATTAGATTATTGAGGATTATGCGAGATGAATGTACGTCAACTATCGATTGTTTAATTGTTTAAAGAAAATTGTTGAAAATCCCATAACAACGTGAATCCTGGGTTGATTCGTTACATCTCCGAGCTCTCAGATTGTACACAATGCATACATACATATAAATGTGTACATATGTATGTATGTATATGTATCTAACAGTAAGGAACAAAGAGAAATCCGATAGGAGAAAAAGAGCAAGGGCAGCGTCGAGTAGAGTTTATCGGGTAGCAGAATGTGTATTACTACTGCGTTTTCCTTTGTCACACGCGGAAGCGTGCCTGCGTGCGCGCGCGAACGCTCATGCTCGTTCGCATCAGAGTCCGATTAGGGGGAGAAAGAAAATGAAGAAAAGGGATGATTGAGAACCACTTGTAGGAGGACAGCTGCACTCTGAGCGCATCTGCTGTTAGTTGCGCGGGCACGCGCTTATATATATATATATATATATATGTACAAAAGTATATATACATATACTTTTGTACATATATGTCGACATTGAAAAAGAAAGAGAGAAAGAGAGAGAGAACCAACAACATATACTCAAATTCATCCACACATATAGAAAAAGGATATGTGCGCAGAAGCATACTCTTCTCATCGTTCCTTATTTCCACTGTTGTTCCTTTCCTGTCTCTACTTTTCATTATCCATCTCACTCATTCCATTTGATCCCCGTTTGATCTCTCCTTTTCCACCATTTGCTTCTCTCCCTTTACTTACCTCTCAACCCCTTGCATCCCTCTTTCCCTTTTTCTCTATCGCTGCACAACACCGGCCGCTTACCGAAACCCAACAGTTGTCCCTGAATTTATTTTCCAGATTGTACGCGCGTGTCCTATTCGTTTCGTTTCATTTTATTTCATTTCATTCCGTTCCATTCTTGCAAGAAGTTGACCTTCTTTTTATTATTCCTCTCTCTCTTGTAATATTTCTCACCCTTAACGGAGGAACTTCAAATTTTAGTATAACGACCATCGAGTGTCAAGGTGAACAGTAGATGTCCACTCACACTTTTAAATGTTTATATACTATAATATGTATTGGGTTTTATAAAATATTTGTGTCGATTGTCACAAAAAACAATGCTTTTATATTTGAATAACTCAACTAAACTTAACAATATGTTTTGGAAGAATTTGAGTAATAATTATAAATGTATATATAATTTGTAAAATAATCAAGTTGTCACGAACTTTCCATGCAATCTTGATAGAAGAAACGTATTTGATTCTACGAACACACCCACTCGCATTTATTAACATATTTGTATTGGATTTCATGAGAATTTAGTATCAATTTTCAAAAAAATATTCAAAGATAACACTTATACTTGTATTTTAAATTGGCTATAATTTGGAAAACAATTCAATACACACGCGCATCTATTTATATTGATAGAATAAGTGTATTTAATTGTGGTATATCTAAAGGCTATTGATTTTTATATTATAAACGAATATTTAAGTCTTCGTTGAATTTCGAATATATTTTGCAAGTATACCAGCTAACTTTTCTACGAACAGCGTTAAATCTTGTTGTGTATGTGCGTATATATGTATTTATGTAGAAGCGAGCAGGTCATTGTCGATGGTGCGTCGTAGCAAAGCGTTGCAGCTTGCCCCGAACAGGCCGGTTTATGTATGTATGTATGTATGCATATATGTACCACGTAGACCGACACCCCAAGGAGAACATTTTTCTTTGTTCACCATCGTCAGTCTGTAGGGATTTTCACGAACCATGAACAGAAAAAAGAAGAGAGGGACAGAAAGAGACCAAAAGCTTTTATCGGGAGAGCAAAAGACTATACGAATTTTCAAGAAAATGCTTAGATTTAACCTACCCCTTGATTTTCTCCATCTGTCCGGTTTTCTCTTCTATTCTTTTCTTTTGTAACCGCGCCTCTTCCTTTTCCAAACCGTGGCTATTACCACTCAAATGCATTTTTTCTCTTTTCCTTTCTCGTTTTTCTTCTTCTATCTTCTTTATTACCTTTTCTTCTTTTCTTCTCTTCTCTTTTTTTTTTTCTTTTATCCTATTTTAAATCTTTTTTCTTCTTTTCCTTTCTTTATTTCTGTCTCTCTCAAACTCATTCTTTGATCATATACCCACTACGTCACTAAGTTTCAAACGGTTCTTGGTCCCTTATTCCTATACCTGCTTTTCTCGTCGTGTTTAAGGGCTCGTCAACAAACCCCCTTTATCGAGCTCGCAGCCCCAGATTTTGGATTCGTTCTTCGCATTTATCTATGCAATATACAAGGTATCCAAGTTTTTTTTTCCAGACCAACGTTGTCAGCGTATTCTGTATATGAAAATTAGAAAATAATGTTATAAAAATGTAGAATATTTAAAGGCTTATACAAAAATTGTGATATTAGTAACAAATGTCTAAATTAATTTAACAAAGATTGTTCTTATATTTCTTCCAATTGATTAGATTTACTTTTTCTTATAGTTATTTATGACGTTTACTTTTTCGTAACAATTTAAGTTAATTCCAATCAATATCAGTTCTCTTTAAGTTTCCTCCGATGAAATTCTACTGATCAAAATGCCGAAAATATTTTTAAATCAAAAATATGTGGAGATTCATTACGTGTATGATTTTCCCGACAGAAATACTTGAACTGTTGTAAAAGAGTATCAAGACTGATTTCCTAATAGAAGAGTCAAACATTGCTCAGTTTTTTCGAATATACATTCACAATTACGTTCGTTTCGTCCTAAAGCGGTATACCAGACTTACATTCGCGTAAGTGGTCGGTACTTTGAACAAGAAATTAAGTGATTAACAATTTGTGTCGTAAATTTTTAAAATAAATATTTAAAAATGATCTATATTATTATAAAACATTATTTTCTTATTTTCGTGAACAGAATACACTGACACCGATTGGTCGGGAAAATCTCGGACACCCTTTATATATGCATATATATTTTTTTCTTTACCCTTGGAAACTGCTACATAGGAAAAAGAAACCTTTCCTTTCCTAGACAAATTTTCTGGTTCATTGTTAAAAAAAGAATTTTCCTACCTTTCCTAAACATGTATTTTTAAGAAAAAACATGCGTTCTTTATCTTGATTATTTTTTATTAATTTTATATTTATTTGTATACATTTGTTAATGTTTAAAAGTATTTCGTATCACTTGTTAATACTTCTATACTATTGAATTATCTAGAAAGTTCGTGTCGATAATATTTTAAGTATATGATACATATAGGTATCATATGAATGAACAATTCTTTGCATACGTGGAATTATATTTCTTTTGATTAGATTTTAAACAAATTAAATAATTCCATTAGTGGAAATTAAACATTTAAAATAACACATTATTTTCTTACAAAATGCATACTTATATTAATTGTTATTAATAAGGTTTCAATCAAATCAGATATTCATATAATTAGCGTTTGAATTAACATATACAATTGCGTTTATTACATCCAGGGAAACAATACTTATCTCGTATTATTTAATTTTTAAATATTTCAAGGAATATTTTTAAATGTATTGGAATTCTTATGAGAGTATTATTTTGTATCCGCCAATACTACACCGTATGCGTTTTACACGCCTTGGAGGCCCAGATGGCAAGCGCCGCCGATCTTCTGTTTAAAATTTGAACCACGAGTAGGAACTGCGCTCATTCCCCTACCACCTGCTCGGTACCTATAGATCTAAACTATTTCCTATATAATACAATTTTTTGTCGGCCTATCTAACGATCTTTTGTTTTCCTTTTATGTCGATATATCCTAGAAAATAATTGATTACACTTTCGTGACTTTTGTTTCTTTTTTTCATCTCTAAATTATCTGTGTAGCATATTAATTTTCTATGAAATTATTTAATTAATTTTCTTACATGCTATAATGGCCGATAAACATAATGAATAATCAAGAATGAAAATAAAATCGTATAATAGGAAGAATGTTAGATTTATAGGACTATAATAAAATGATTATATTTTGAATGGTATCATTGTATGATATTTGGATAATGTTAAGGGTCCACGCGTTTTATTTGTTAATTTTTATTAAATGTAATAGTTGTGAAAACAATTGTTAGATAAATACAACGTTACAGTTTAGGATAAGTTTGAAAAGATCTTTGTTCATGAAGGAAATGGGTCTGCTACGCAAGCGTAAATGCTCAGTGTACGAACACTATGTTCTCTTCACAACCGGAAGTTGAATGTACGTAATGTTTCTGGGCGCGCCTGCTAAAGCTATTTTTCGCTTCACTGACAAATAAAAACAATATAATGATCGAGCATAACTCGATGCGCATACTTAAATAATCTTCTAGTTTTTCTATAACTTATAACTTCAATTATTATTTTTCATTAGTTTTACATATTTATGCTGTTTATAAATTTACAATGAATTGTATATATATATATATATTTCATTATATATTTAATGACGATAAAAAGTAATTAATTTGAAAGTTCGAATAACATTTGAGTATTTTAATAAAGCATTTAAATTTTTGTATAATGTAGATATAATAGCAATCTGTTTTATCGATCAGAAATATTTGTTAGCTCTGTTGGTAAACATCTGAATTACCGATAGTACATTTCTTTTTCTACTTTATCAACGGTACGCTTAGTTTCTACCTTATCGATAATCAATCGATAATCATTTGCTACAGATGAAAGCCCGCAAAATTAAATAGGTTAAAACTTTCACTTTTAAATTTAATCAAATTTAACACGATTTCTTTTACGATGTTTACTCTAGAAAGTAATTTTATTACCCGTATACGTATTCTACTAGTATTGTTAA